AAAAAATTAAATAAACAAAAAAGAAATGCTAATAAAAGTAAATAATGACAAAAATATTATTTTTTATTTTAATTAAAAAAGATTTACCGGGACCGGACCGGACCGGAACGGAACGGAACCGGAATGAACCGGTACCGGTATACCGGTACCAAATCATGGTACCGTTCCGTTCTGTGTACCGGTTCAATGTATCCCATCCCGTCCCGAATACTACCGGACCGGAACGGACCGTAATGGTACCGGTACAACCCGTTCCGGTGCCCAGCCTTACCCAACACTCCACTTTGTGGGATTACACTGGGTATGTTGTCGTCTTTTTATCAACTGAGCAGGAAAAGACATTTACATTTAGTTGGAGAATCTTGAGGTATTCCAGATGAATATAAATCAAAGGCACACTAAAATGAAAATGTGTAATCAAATTTTTGGGTTCTCTCTCTTAGCAATTATACCAGAGTTTTTGGTTGCTAATTCTATGGTAAAGATTAGTCTATGAAAGTGTATGCCTCTTGTGACAGCTCTAAACTGTTATTCTTGTCTCCAAGTATCATTTCTTAATGATTCATTGCGCTCTTAATCAACATCTTTGTAACTAAACATTCACAAATGTAATATAGCAACTGCAAAGTTAATTGACACTTTGTCATTCTGAGATATATCAACATTAACCTTGATTCCTTCCAAATCTTGTATTTCCCCCAATGAAGACATTGTTTCCTTAATTTCTGCTGTCTTGAGTGCTAGCTTTTTGATTAACTACAAACCAAGATTTCAAATTATCAAAATAAGTGTGTTTGTTGTTTGATCTTTTTTTTGTCTGGGAGGGTGCTTCCATGCAAGAGGTTTGGATTTTTACCGAGAACTAATGTGATCTTTGCGCTCTATTACTCATCCTTTGTTGGAGCGTCATTACTCTTTGTGAGAATAACATGTGTAGCTCTGGGAGGTTGAAAGTCATGCTTGTGGTCTTCAGAAGGACTAAAGAACACATGGTTCATCAGTTCTTGAAGATGCTGTTGCAGGTTTGCTGCTTTTTTAATCCTCTGCAAGAATTTGTTTGATCACTTTATGTTTTTAGTTCATTGGTGCTTTTTGCAATTACCATCAAGCTCTTTCCGTAGCAGGTGTAGAGTTCCAAACTACTTTCATTTCAGAACTCGAGCTTGGAGGTAAAAGAGAGGATATGTATGTACATCTGTAAAATAGATACAACAAAAGACTGCTGTTTTTGAAGAGCAACACATCTACTGAAAGTACTAACATGATCTCTCTTCTTCTTCTTTCGTGGAAGGAGTCAAGGAGATCGTCTTACTAAAATGAGTGACACTCTAATAATTACTAAATTGATCCTTTTTTTTTCTTTTTGAGAAGAAAGGGATATCATGTTAGTACTCCCTCTGTCCCCAATTACTTGTCCACTTTTGAATTGACACACCTGTTAAGAAAACAATTATTGACATAGTGAATTTACCATTTTACCCCTATTAATTATGAAGTGGATAAATTGAAAATTTAAGATTTTCAAGAAGTTCTACCTTTTTCAAAATTAATTAATTGAGGGTATAATAGGTAAAAAAAAATTGTTCTTTCTTGATTTTGTCAAAAGGGACAAGTAAAAAAAGAAAATTGGACAAGTAAATAGAGACAGAGGGAGTACTTAATTATTTAGATATCTGGTTCTTCAAAATGGCAGTCCTTTTGATAGATGCAAAATCTAGAGAAGGACCGCACCTCAATGGAGTAGGCATCTACCCCACGGAGACAACTTTACTGTCACTCCAAGACTCGGTGGAGGAAAAAACATTGGAAAATAAAGATAATGCATGTATGGAGATCTGTGTATTCACACAGGTATGTCAGTTTATTAATTTTCCTTTTGATCAGTACTTCATACAGGTGTCTCTGTGTGTGATTGTTTGTTAAGGTGAAGCTCTTTAAGGTTTCAAAACGATGAGTCCCAACGCTAAATTTATTACTAATAGGTTAGCTCATTAAAGTTTAGATATTCACAAATTATCTACAAATTGCAATTTTTCTCATAACAATGTGGTGAAATGTTAGTTAAAGTTCATGTAATTCGACTTTAGAGAAACAAAATGTGACAAGCATTTGTGACGAAACCAGGAGCAGTGACCTTTTCTTCGCTATTTTCTGCTTTATTTTTGTTTTTTGTAAGAGAAAGTGGACATTAATGGCTTAACATCTAAATCAGTGAAGCAAAAATATCTGGCTTCTGAAAATGGAGGAAAAGAGAAACAAAATGAGTTTATTCATATCACCATCAAATGACTTATGAAGTACTGCTAAAAACAATACTTCCAAATAGAGGTACAGGGGAGGTCATTCATACACACAATTTTTTTTTTTTTTTTTTTTTTTGCATTAGTTGAGTTCGTTTTAGATCCGTCTTTGTTACTGCTGATACACTTTGTTATCTCTTAAATGCATCATGTTAGGCATTTTTGGACTGATTCTTCTTCCACAAAGCTGTTTTATCACCTCAGCAACTTCATCCATCTGTTCTTCTCTTAGCAATCTTACATTCTCACCAAGACTATTCACCTTCCTCCTCAAATCATCCCCAATTTTTTCGCCAAATATCACTTCTTTTATAGTCTCAGCTATATAACCTCTATGAAGCTTCCCATTTCCATCTCTCGCAATCTCCACGGCTATTCCATTCTCCACAACCGATCTAGCATTCATAGGCTGATCTGAGCAAAAGTTCATGGGCAGAGCTATGATTGGAACACCAAACTCTATGCTTTCAAGTGTGGAATTCCAACCACAGTGTGTTACAAATGCTCCAATACTTGCATGCTTCAGTATTCTTGCCTGTGGAACCCATCCTTCAACTATCCTCCCTCTTTCTCCAATGCGGTCAAGAAAACCTCGAGGAAGTGCCTCTTCATGGTTAACAACTTGTTCTCCTCTTGGAAACCATAAACCCATATGAAATGAACATTGCTAAACTCTAACCCATAAGCAACCTCTTCCATTTCTTCCTTTGTCAAGACACACTCACTCCCAAATGAAACCTACACAGTTGAATGCTCCTCTTTCTTCCCTATCCATTTAATGAGTTCTGTTTCCTCTATATCCCCTGCATCTTCAAGATCTTGAATTACTACTCCAGTAGGCAGAATGTTTCCTTGTCCTATTTCAGAAAGATAATCTATGTACTTTGCATCTATTGCTCTGGAGCTATTCAGCAGCATGATTCTCTCACCTTCTTCCACCACTTCATGCTCAATATGACGCTCTATCTCTTTCTCATAATCCTTTAGATAGAGCGCTGTGAAAGGGAATTCCACCCCTGGTTTGAGCTGTAAATGGCCAAAATAACAACACGTAGCTGCACTCGCATTACAATATCTTATCGCTGGGATGTTGAGACTAGATGCAACCCTTACTGCCCATGGTTGCATTATATCAAATACTAACACATCAGGTTTTTGATCTTTCAGGATTTGGTAAAACTGTGGTTTTTCCATCATGAGGGCTTTGTAGAGGGTAGATTGAAGATGCAATGGGAGGCCATTTGTTGTGTGGTAATGAGGAGGAAGTTCAGGTAAATCTTGTAAATGGAATTCCACTAGCTGAATTGAACAAGAGTACTTGTGTGGGATTTTCTTCTTGATGTAACTAAGATTAATGGGAGTTGAACAAAAATCAATGAAAAAGCCTCTTATCTGAGAGTTTCTTGGCTAGCTCAAGGAAAGGTGTGAAGTGTCCATAAGCCAAGTATGGAAACATTAGACTCTCAAATTTGTTGTTTCATGTTCTACAGCCATGACTTCTCTCTGTGTTGTTTTTCTTTTTGGTGTGTGTGAAAGTCATTATGTAATGAAAGCTCTTTATAGAATTATTAGATACACAAGCACGTGTCCAATATATGTTATTCACTCTGTCTTAATTTTATGTAACACTTACACTATGTTTGGATCATTGTTACCCATTGTATTGTATTGTATCGTTACTATACCTACAATGTTTGTTTTGATTGTTACTTAAAATGTGTTGTATTGTATTGTTAAATTTCATTGTTACGTAACAATGAAAACCCCTATTTTATGGAACAACCGATTTGGTGTGTTTCTATTGTTACTTAAAAAAAATTTCCAATTGTATCTTTACATAATATTTCAAAATACTATTTTACCCTTTACCTTATATTATTTAATTCTAGTCAAACCTCCTACCCTAGAATAATTAAGGATATTTTAGTAAATTTATAAACTACAATACAGTACGATACAATCAAACCAAACAATTAAAATGTTATTAAACAACAACAAACAATACAGTCTAGCCAAGTATTGTATCTACCATACAGTACAATAGAGTACAATATAATACAATACATTATGAAACAATGGGTAACAATAATCCAAACAAAGTGTTAGTTAAATTTTAGAGTGTCACTATGTCTTAATCCTTTTTTATCAATTCCAATAAATTAACGTATTTCTATATTTAGTAGTGTAATATTTCAATTTGTTTGAAATCTATTTATTTTTTAATTCGTTTAAAAACGAATGAGTCATTTTCATTTTAGCATTTTTTAAATTTCAACTTAGCAAGTGGCATGTTTAAAATTACAAGAATCAAAAGTTCTCTTTATTTTCTTAAATTACATATCAAATCAAAATAAGTTATACAAATTGAAAATGGAGGGAGTAATTTAATTTTACAATATTCATTTTATCTTTAATAATATAATTTATAGCCATAATAGTATTTATAATTTATTTTAAATTACAAATTTAAATAGAAAAAAAAATTCATATTTTATTTCAGTCAAATTACATAATACAAATATGTTTTAAATATATTGAAATTGCCCCTTGATCAAAAAATAAAAGTATAGTATTTGAGATTTAAATTTGGAACTTCACGATGGATTTTGAGCCCACTAAACTACTTAATGAATCTTTAGTTTTGTATTTAGAAAATTCAAAATCTATATAAATATAAACACTAAAATTGATATTAAAAAAAATACACTCCATTTAGTCCATATTAAGTAAATTGTTGAGATATGACACATTCTTTAAGAATTTTTTTAAGGATATAAATGAAAGACTATTTTCCACTATTATTCTTTTGATTATTTTCCAAATTAGAAATGTAAAGTAGAAACCTATAACGCCCAACAATTCTCTCGAACTTAATTCACTTATTTTAAATTATGAAAAAAATTGCAATAATTCACCTAATCTGAACTAAAGAAAGTATATACAATGTAATCTTTTACCGAAAAAATGAAATAGAGAGGGGTAGAGAAAATGCAACACAATAGAAGAGTTTGCTCCATCACGTAAATATACACAACTATCATCTACGGTCCATTTTCATTTTCTTCCCTGCTCAAGAAGGGAGATCTAACGTTGAGCGCTGATAGCTTGTAGTGAACATCCCTATTATGAAACCAATTGAAAGCAGCCTTTACTTCTCTACGTACAAATTTGTTTATTTTCCTCTTTAACTAGGATAAAGACAAAATGTAGCCCCACAGCTAAATAATTACTCCTCCCTCTTTTTCAAAATATTAGTCCTACTTGCCATAAATATTTGGTCATTAAAATATCTTGTCTTAATAATGAATCAAACGAACGTAACCAACAAAGATTATGATAAAGTGGTACGGAGTCGCCTTTGTTAGAGAGTGTTTTAGTCGGGCTTCAATATAAATATCAAATATCGGGCGAGAAACCAAAAAGAGAATCTAAATTTAGTCGGATTTCAATATGGATAACGGACACCGAATGAAAAACCAAAAAAAAGAATCAAATGGACGTAAAAGAAATTGATAACACATACTCCTTATATAAAATTTGGAAACTGTAATAATTTTAGTTCAACAATACTATTGCTGAGATGATAACTTTCATATAAAATGCTCATATGAAAAGTCCCTATTAAAGTATTTTAAATTTAGAACGAATCAATCGATCTGATCTACAAATCTATTCTAATTATCAACGAATATCGCAAACTTTAGGTGGAATGAGGATTATAATTCTTTCTACTTCTCGAGGTATAATGACAAATCGAGAGGCTAGACTAGAAGAAATATGTGGATTTTTTTACGTTATATTTAATACTATTCTTTATAATATCCAATTTGATATCGAAACTACCTATTTGTGAAAAAGAAAAAAGAAGGGAGAGAGGGAGTTGTCTAATTGTCT